AGAAAGAAAGAAAGAAAGAAAGAAAGAAAGAAAGAAAGAAAGAAAGAGTGAGTCGGAAGGGAAGAAAAAAAGATTCCACGGGAGAAAGAAATAGAGAGAGAGGAAGGAGAAAGTAAAAAAGTAAAAAAGAAAAGAAAAGAAACAAGCAAAAAGGAGAAAGAAAAGAGAATGAGAGAGCAGGAGAAAGAAGGAAAGAAAGAAACTACGAGAGAACTAGAAAGAGAAAAGAAAGTAAAGAGAGTGAAAGAAAGAAAAGGAAGAAAGGAAAAAAAGAAAAAACGAGAGAAAGAACTAGAAAGAGAAAAAGAGAGAAGAAGGAAAACAAGAACGAGAAAGAAAGGAAGGAAGAAAGAAAGAAAGGAAGGAAGGAAGGAAAGAAAGAAAATACGAGAGAAAGAACTAGAAAAAGAGCAAAGAAAGGAAACGAGGAGAGTGAGAGAGCGCGAGAGAAAGAAAGAAAGAAGGAAGGAAGGAAGAGAAAGAAAGGAAAGAAAGAAAAGAAAACAACCGGGCGTGCGGAGGAGGAGGAGGCAGGCAGGCAGGCAGGCAAACTTCCCCCGAGTTCCCACGTTCACTTCCGAGCTCGGGTCCCGCGGAGGGGGAGGGAGGCGGAGAAGCGAGGAAAATCCGGCCGAAAGCAGCTCCGGAGCGGCGTGGACGGCAACAATGTGAACGCTCCTTCCGCGCGGCGGTTCCGATTCGCTCGGCCGAGCCAAGTCCCGGGATCGAAGGCGGAGGAAGGGGGGTGGGGTGGAAAACGACCCCCCCCCCAAAAAATAGCCACACGTGGGGGGGAGAAACCGATCGAAGTCGAACTTTTTCAGGCCCTCCAAAGGCGATCCGTCCGGTTCCTTTGCAAAGCGATCTCCCGTGTGAAAAAAAATAAAATAAAAATGAAATCCAACCGGGGATTAAAATGCAACTTCTATCTCGCGTTGGGGGGGCTTAAGGGAGAAAACCCCCCCCGTTCCGGACCTTTTTGCAAAAGAAAAGACCCGATGAAAAGTTTGCTGCTTTTTTTGTAAAAAAGAAAGAAGAAGAAAGAAAAGTCCCCCATTGCAAAATCCCTTTTCAAAGCGCATCCTTCTCTCCCCTTCGCATTTTGCTGTTTGTTTGTTGTGTTTATTCTTGGCCTGCTTCCTTTTTTTCCCTTCTCTGGCTGTGCTGGGGGTTTTTTTTTTCTCTTCCCCCCCCCCCTTTTTTTTTTTCTCAAAAAAGAAAAGATTCACATAAACTTTCCCCTTGAAGGGGCGGGGCTTCCTCTTCCCCCTCCCCACCTCCAAAAAAAGAAAAAAGGAGGGATGTTCCGTTTTTTTTTGCAAAGAACAAATCTTTGGGAAAGTTCTTTGCAAGAGAAACAGAAGAAGGAGCGAGGGGGGTGTGTGGAGAGGGAACGGAAAAGGGGTCAATGTAGATTTGACACACGCACTCACAAACACACACACACACACACACACACACACACACACACAGAGAGAGAGAGAGAGAGAGAGAGGCCTAAGCAATGGGTGCAACTTGTGGCTTTTCCAGTTTGGCAAAGGCAACGCTTTTTAAAAAGGGTTTAAATGCAAGAATAAATTGCATTTGCTGGAGAAGCCTTGCATTGGTTTGCGCTGCGTTGGATTGCCAAGTATCTGGATTTTTATTTTTTATTTTTTTTGATCTCATGATCCTGCCGATGCCAACAAAGGTCAGAAGTGTGAAAAAAAAATGGCCGTGTCGCGTTTTTTGTTTTTTTTTCCAGGGTTGTTGCAACATTCGCTCGCTAAAATAAACTCTCGTGAAGTCCAGAACTAACCCTGTTACTGGAGATCGGTGTTTTATCAACCTTTGAATACGTGTGTGGACTTCAACTCCCAGAATGCTCCAGCCAGCAGATAGATTTACCTACAGACACACAGACACACAAAAGCCTAAGCAATGGATGCAACTTGTGCCTTTCCAGTTTGGCAAAGGGGACACACCTTGAAACATCAAGAAGCCAAAACGGGGGGTTTAAATGCAAAAATAAAAATTGCATTTGCTGGGTAAGCCTGCATTGGTTTGCTCTGCATTGGATTGCAAGCATCTGGATTATTTTTTTAATCTCCTGATCCTGCGGAGGCCAACTACGGTCAGAAGTGTAAAAAACAGCCATAAGTGGGTTCTTTTTTTTTTTTTTAGGGCCGTTGCAACTTCGACGACTAAACAAACAATCCACAACTAGCCCTGTACTTTTAAGACAAGGGTCTTCCATCTTGGCAAGTTTAAGACTTCAACTCCCAGGATTCCTGAGCTAACATGACTGGAGGAGGAATTCTGGGAGTTGAAGTCCACAAGTCTTAAATCGGTCAAGTTTGAAGACCCTGATCTATCTATCTATCTATCTATCTATCTAGTCTGTCTATCTAGTCTGTCTGCCTGTCTATATCTATCTAATCCAAAGGTCTTTCATCTTCGCAAGTTTAAGACTTCTGGACTTCAACTCCCAGGATTCCTGAGCTAACATGACTAGAGGAGGAATTCTGGGAGTTGAAGTCCACAAGTCTTAAATCGGTCAAGTTTGAAGACCCCTCTGGTTTAAAATGTGTGTCGACTTCAACTCCCAGAATTCCCCAGCCAGCATATAGATTTACATACAAACACAACAGACACACACAGACACACACCCCTAGGCCTAAGCAATGGATGCAAATTGTGGCTTTCCAGTTTGGCAAAGGCAACACAGCTTGAAACGTCGAAGAAACCAACAGGGTTTAAATGCAAGAATAAATTGCATTTGCTGGATAAGCCGGCCTGTCATTGGTTTGTACAGCAATTTTACAACCTGTGTACAAACATTTTACAATTTTGTAGATCAGCTAGCAAAAGGGATCCTGAGAGAGTTTTCCTCTCTGTCAATCCCAAACAAATTGAGCTTAAATATACAGATTAACAGAGTTGGAAGGGACCTTGTAGGTCATCTAGTCCAACCCCCCCTGCCCAAGCAGGAGACCCTACACCATTTCTGACAGATGGGAGTCCAGACTCTTCTTGAAAGCCTCCAGGGATATGAAGCTCCCACAACTTCTGAAGGCAACTTCTGTTCCATGGGTTGATTGTTCACACCGTCAGGAAATTTCTGCTTATTTTCAGGTTGAATCCATCAGAATAGAGCTGGAAGGGACCTTGGAGGTCATCCAGTCCAACCCCCTTGCAGCCAAGTAGGAGACCCTGCCTACACCATTTCTGACAGGTGGCAGTCCAGTCTCTTCTTGAAAACTTCCAGGGATGAAGCTCCCACAACTTCTGAAGGCAACCTCTGAACTATGGGTTCATTCTTCCCTCTGTTTTCCCCTCGTGCCAATGCTTTAGTTAGTCAAAGCAGGGGAGGGGACCCTGTGGGTACCCGGTGGTTCTCATAGTTATGATCTGTTGCCTTCCTTGTTTTGTTTCCTCGTTCTGGGGTCAATTGACATTTGGGGTTTGGGGGTTTTCTGAACGCTAGCTCACCAGGAGCATGCAGGTGTAAAATAAATTGGTAATGCCGTTGCCAGTTGGAAACTTGCTCTGTTCCAGGCAAAAGGTTGACCTTAAGGAAATGTGCTCCTGGAGCAGATACTCCAGATAGGAAGCCTTGTTGTTTCCTTGTTTGCACAAGTCGGTGCAATGAAGCGTTTAGGCTCCACAACCACAACTAAAATGACAGTGGTTCCCGCCATAAGAACTTTATCGCGGTTCACTTATGATTCAGGATATTATTCAAAAAGTGGCAGGATATAATTGAGGCACAACACACTGCGCCAAACCCCAAGAAACAGAAAGAAAACAATCTTCGCCCTGGCAGGTTAACAGGGTAACAAAGCTGGAAGGGAATCCTGGAGGTCATCTAGTCCCACCCACCCCCTGCTCAAGCAGGAGACCCTATACCGATTTCGGACAAACGGCTGTCAAGTCTCTTCTTAAAAACCTCCAGGGATAAGAGCAATCACAACTTCTGGGGTGAGGTTGTCCGAATGTAACCATTTAGCCAGCCTGATGTAGCAGAGGTAGTCCTCCAGTTACAACCGGTCATTTAGAGGCTGTTTGAAATTATGACCTATCTGGAAACAGGGACTTACAACTTGGAACCCAAGCCCAGAGAATCACATGATTACGCTTTTGTGGGCTTGGCAATGGGACCATGTTTATAGCTGTTGGTTCCGTCCATTTAGCGTGCATTCAAAGTGACAATAAAGTTATTCTATTCTGTTCTGTTCTGTTCTCTTCTATTCCATTCTATTCTATTCGTAGTGTATTCTATTCTTATCCTTAATATTCTTATTGTATTCTATTCTGTTCTTATTCTATTCTAATCCTTAATATTCTTATTCTATTCTATTCTATTCTGTTCTTATCCTTAATATTCTTATTCTGTTCGGTTCTTATCCTTAATA